TAAGACATGTGCTAGTTGCATGGTGGGACAAACGGTATCCCACCTTTCACCGTAAAAAATAAAAGCGCAGAATTTTTTTCAAGCCTTAAAGGCACTTAAGTAAGTCCATCTGACTTATTCTAAGGCATTTTTTTAAAGATTAAAATATATTTTAAATATGCGTGTCGCAAAGGGTTAAAGGTGTGAATCCATACTGGTAAGTTATATTTTGAAAGATGTTTTGAAGTAATTTGAAAGCAAAATGTTAATAATGTTTTAATGGGGACTGGAGTTAAATCATCATGAAGAATAAAATTTCAATTGTAATAATAAGTAATAACTTGTTTTCGCACTAAATGGATTTAAGATCATACAACATTTGATATGCTAAATAGCAGCTATTAGTGCTATTTATCTCTTACCTAATGTACCCACTTAATATATATTTTCTCCATTCTTTTTTAAGTTTTAAAGTTCTTATACAAAAACTTTACTGTATTGAAGGTTAGCAGCCTCCTTACTTTTATATCTTGCTAGTTTATCTCATATTGAAATCATTAAATGTCATTCCACTAGATGACAAACTTGAAAATTTAATGGCATGCTTGCTACAGGTAAACCCAAAAAACAATTTCTATGAAAAACATTTAACTGTATTTACATGATTACATGCGGTACTTGACATATTAAATATATAGAACAGACTAAAAACAATCTTAACTTTCGAATCAATAACCATAGAGCTCAAATCAAAAAATTCAACGCACAAAAAAATAGCATTAAAATAAGTACACCATCACAACTCAATACAGCAGAATTAGAACACTTTAAAACACCATGACTTCAACTCTATTCAACTTCAGATACTAGATATAATACCCAATCACAAAACACGAATTTTTCAGGAATCTCTCTATATACTAAAACAACGTTCACTTTATCCATATGGACTTAACACTTATATACATAGTCATAGAGATACTTCTAAGAAGTCTATTTTCAGCCAATTTAAGCTCTACAGCAACAAAACGCAGAGAGGAAAAAGAGGAAGCAAAATAAAAAATAATGCGAGATTTTTATCTACATTTGCATTGAAAAAACAATTGAAATGTTTTTTTGACTCGGACTACTTTCCCAAGAAACTTCTCAACCGGTTACACTCCTGTAATAATAAATTCCTTATCAAACTAAAAAAATTCATTCAAGAAAGCTACGATGACATACAAATCATTAAAGACATGATTCTTGATTTTAGTCTTTTCAGACTCTCTAATAGTCTCACTCAACGCAAAATTTATTTTAAAGTCAATTTTCTGCATCCACAGTTTGACAATATTCATTTCTCAAGAATCATCAGAGATTGTAAAGATTACTTCCCTGCAGTTGACACAATACCAATGATTGCATTTAAATATCAAAGGACCTTAAGCAACTTGCTCACTAACCACCATGAAATAGATGAAACAGCAGAATGACATTGTAAGACACCAATTTACAGCAATTACGTAGATTCTCATCACCAGCACATAATTACTGGCAACCTGAATATCATACAAAACCATCAACTAAAAACACTAATGAGTTATGGTACAAAATTTAGACCAGTCAGAAACATGACTACAAATTACTGTTACAAGACTTTCGAAAACAACATCAACGAATTTATAGTTAAAGCAAGCTATCAACTGAATTTACCCATAGATACCTTCTTAAAATGGAAAGCTAAAATTCTTCAACGCATATCCACCGAAATCAGTCACCTCAAGTTTAAAAATACACTGAATTGGTCGCAACTTACATCAGATATTAATAAATTAAAACAGCTTTTTACTATTACAAAAATAGATAAAGCAACTAATAACTTTAGCATTATATGAAAACAATTCTACGCTGAAGTTGTTCATAAAGAACTTCTCAACGCAACTACTTATCAATTGGCCAACCTTACAGAAACATCTATAATAAACAGGATTAAAACTTTTCATAAGAAACTCAATATTTCAATGCAAACTACAACAGATTTACAAATCTTTATGCGATTCCCAAATTCCATGAAACACCATTAAAATTCAGATTTATAGCTAATGGAACTAATAATTACAAGAAAAATGTAGACTATTATTTTTCAATTCAACTTAATAAAATCTGTAAATTTATTTTCAATGATTGTAACAATAATCATAACTACTGCTGGATCATTCATAATAACACTCCTGTCATTAATACCATTCAAACCATTAACATCCAAAACATTAACTGCTATGATTTTGAAAACTTATATACCTCACTTCCTCTAGAAGAAATCTATACCAGCCTACTTGATCTACCTAAACTTTTCCCTAATATGCTCAATATCATGACTCTTGACAAATGGAAAACCTACCTAAAATGCACACTTTTTCATAACTATATCAAGTTTCAAAATCAACTTTTTAAACAAGTCAGAGGATTGCCAATGGGCTTACATTCCAGCACCTCGATCTGTAATATCTTTTTATTTGTTAAAGAATTTAACTTCCAAAAAAATCTACAACCACAAAAGTTAAATTACTACAAACACACCGACAGATATATTGATGACCTTATTACAATTAATAATTTTGGTAAAATTGAACACTCCGAAATTTATCCGAATTGTCTTACACTTAATAAAACAAATAATTCACAAAATAGCATAGACTTTCTAGATCTTCAAATCATTAACTACAAAAAAATTTTACTTTTTGACAAAACAAGAAACTTTAATTTCAATACTAACAAATTAATAAATTGGAACTCCAACATATCCAAAAAAGTAATTAACAATACTATAATTAATCAAATACAATGAATTAAAATTATATGCACAGATACAATAGATTTACAACGCGAAATTTTGATCCTTATTAAAATTCTCAAAAATAATCTAATTCCCATTCAATTTATCAACCATTGCCTTAAAAGAGTAGACATTAAATACTCACTCTAAATCATTTAACTGATAGGGATATGATAATTTGTTCCTAAACCTGAGAAGGCGGTATAAGTTGGATGACTGTCAGTTGAAGGATTTGTATATAGTGTAATTAAATTACTCAATTGTATATATTGTAAAAAGCTAATAATAAGGTATAAGTTGGATGACTGTCAGTTGAAGGATTTGTATATAGTGTAATTACTCAATTGTATATATTGTAAAAAGCTAATTGTCTTCAGACTTATACTGTTACTATACTGTTACTAAAAAAATGGGCCTATTTCATGCCTTTAGTCTGTCTATTAGCTCTTGGACAGTGAAAATTCCTTTTTCCTTTCTTAAATTCTTAATCATTGCGACACGACAATTAGCCAGAAATTAATTAATTTCCATTCACTAGTATTTTCAAAAAAATCTTAACAGACAGTCTCACTCAGATAAGAACTCCACATAATACATCCCTCAAGAATTCCAAGCCCCACCCACTGCCATAAATTACTTCACCCAAGTCTTACCGACTGATATTATTCAAAGCCCCCACTGCTGCTAAGAATTTTCGGACACCTTACACTTATGAGTCAGACACGAAGAGAACACTTTGCCAACTCCCCCACTAGAAAGAATGTAAGTTACTTAATACCTTTTCTGGCCTTTATATCTTCTTGTACATTCACTGATCTTATTTATATTATTTTCTATATTATTTTTATATTGTCTTTGATTTGTTTTTACAAAGTTTGCATTATTTATCTTATTTTGTAATCTTCTATGTTTATTTCAACTTTACTTTGAATTCGATTTCATAATGACAATTTCCAATGTTTAATTTCTACAAATAATATAGTACTCAAATGCATAAACATGAAAGTGTCGGGGACGGTTACTCGAGTTAATTAGGATTTCTCTACAGTAATTGATTTTTACTCCAAATTGAATTGACTAAAATGCTTCATAAGAATAAGTTCTTTGAGTATCAGCATTGGTTCATAATTCCTTCTATTCGCGGAAATATTTGGCCTGACTAGAATTGCCGGTTTGGCTTTAACTTATAACTCGAGTAAAGATGAAACACTTTCGTATTTACGTATTTTTGTCAATTATTGTTCATTGAACGGGAGTTGGTTTGTTCCCCTTGAAAAGTCAACTAATTTCCAATCAATGACAATGATTACATTTGTTGTTTGACTTCTGAATTAGTAATGATTACATGTTTTTAATTTTTCCTTTTACAATTGAAATTTTATTCTTCATGATGATTTAACTCCAGTCCCCGTTAAAACATTATTAACATTTTGCTTTCAAATTACTTCAAAACATCTTTCAAAATATAACTTACCAGTATGGATTCACACCTTTAAAATAATTCTACTTTAATTAAACTTAGGAGATAATATAATCAATTAATCAATACTGTTTAGGAAATAAATTATTATTATATAAGTATATATATATATATATATATATATATATTCAGTTTTTCCTGGACCTTTACCCTAGGCACTTAATTAAATAACTTAGCTGAGATGCAACTTAGGTGAATGACAGTTTTTTGCTTCCTCCAAGTGTAATATGAATGTGCGTGTTTCCTTGAGAAAGACTTCCATGAAGGCATCTCTTTAAGGCTTATAATCATTAAACATTGCCACTGTAATTAAATTGCTAACGATGTATTCTTACTTTAGATGAATGTGCTAATTGAAGAAGTTGGATTTCAGATAGCTGTTGAATGAAATTTGTTCACTTTTTTAACAAATATCTAGAAAGAGAAACTATGTAATGATAATAGATTAAAAATTAAGTATTTTAGAAACATTTTTTTTCAGCCATACACAATGGCAGAATTAGTATGATTGTGGAAACATTGTATTTTGAATAAGTTTGTGTTCAAAATATTTTCATACTGTCAAACTTTGAAATACAGCAACAACCAAACACTGTTTTGAAGCTCCTGTTTGTGCATGTATGTGTATATGTGTAATTTAATCTTTTCCCATATTTTGAACATAAAATTTTGAGTTATAAATTATTCAAATTTTGCAGTTATTTATGTATTTCCATTTTTCAGTTGATGAATCAACTTGTAGTAGTGTAACACAGGAAGCATCTGCGAGCCATTCATTTAGTAAATCACATTCTACAAACACTGGAGTTGTTAGAGAAAGTGGATTCCAAAAGAATCTGGAAAACATTTTGGTGGATCACAGTGAATTTTTATCTCATCTTTTATTAGAAGTAGGACATATTTATATTACTTTCAAATTCAAATTCAGTTTTTAGATAACAAACCGTATGTTTATTTGTATCATGCAGTTTTTCATATAAAAGTTCTTTAGTTGAATTGACTTTATTGCATTTGGTTAGGTATAGTTCATCATTTCATGTGCATTAAAAGAACTTATATTAATTAAATACAATAAATGAAATAATAATAAACCATTTAACAGTTAAAGTAATTTTTTTAATTATAAGCTACAGTAGAAATTAAAGATTTTCAAACTTAACAAGATTTTCAAATTAGTTCTTAAATTGTTATTTAGTGAAAAGTGAGCTACATTTTTATACAGATAATTTGGTTAAATTACAAAATGTTTGAAGCTTGATTTTTCCACATTTCATCTTCTCTTTCAGTGAACTGCAAAGCTCATTATTTGTATTTCTTTTTTTAAATTCATTTTTAGATGACAAACCGTTGTTTATTTGCATCATGCAGTTTATGCTAGTGTCATCATAAACTGAAAAATTTTTACCAAATGCATTGTAATGTTCCTTTATTGTTAAGTAACCAGTTATTTTATATTTTCAATCTTCACTCTGACTTCTCCGTTCAGTTTTCCAGCCAGAATGCAAATTTAATTCGCATGTATTTAAGGTGAGGTTTTTTAAATTGTAAGACTGAGCATGTTCTGCCTTTCGAGACCATGTTACTAGGTTGCTAGATATGATAAGATTTGTAGTCTTATAAGGTATTTCTCCTGCCTTCTTAGCATGCCTTCGTGGTATAATGGTCAGGACACTCTTCATGTATTTGAGAGTTCCGAGGTTCGAGTCCCGGCGATTGCATTGCACATTTTTCATCTGGTTAAGTTGAACCAACTTCACATTAAACTGAATTGTGTGACCTTCGGCTATTATTTTATTTAATTTAAATTTTCCATTTAACTGTTATTTTAAGTTACATCATCACATGTATTTGGCTAATTTGTAAACAGCAGGTATGCCTAGTTTCTTCTTAGTTTTAAATAAAAGAGTTTTTACACCCTTCTAAATTTTCGATTATTATTTTAGACTACTAAACTTTATAATGTGATTGAAAAAATAGCTGCTGTTCAACAGTAAGATTCATAACCATGCATAACATTGTTCTTGTTTGCATTTCTATCATCAGTATGTTCATATAGTATTGTTACTTTAATTCAATATCATTCTCACTACTTACCTCTACTGAATAGTTGCAGAGCAAGTTTCTCACATTTTGATTATTCATTTGTGTTAAATTAAGAGATCTCTTCTAATTCTGCTCATGACTTCAGTAATACTATTAGCTGGATTACAACGAGTGAATGCAGTGTGAGGTCATGTAACATAAAAAAAGGGGGAGGGAATTGAGATAAATTGGTTAATCACAGCTTGAACTAATTCATTGCACTCCTAACTAAATATCACACATCTCAAGTTTATTTTAAATACTTTTTTTTCCCTTTGTAATAGTTCATGAACATATGTGAATCATGAAGCTGGTTTTGTAAGCGTTACTGGTTTTTGAATGGAACCAGTATTTTTACAAAACTCCTTTCTTTAACAGCTTGCTTTAAATCAGTCATGCATTAACACTTATAAGTTAAATTTTAATTTCCATTTCACTTTTTAATAATTAATTGAATGTTTGTGTCATGCTCAACATGAAACTAAAGTTACACTATAATGTTTTACTATGTAATCCAGTGGTTTATTTGGATGTATGAGATGTATGAGACCATGTATGAAATTGCCTGTTGCCCAAGGTTTTTTGATTCAGTTAGTGCATTCCGTGCATTATACAGAACTGAAAATTGCACATATTTTAATATGCTTTATCTACACAAATTTGTAACCTATTTCTTTTTACATTTGAATATAAATTCCAACTCAGTTTAAATAAAAATGAATTAAAGCTATTTGCTCATACTTTTAGATACATAGATGATATTATAACTTTCAATAATAATTCTACTTTTGAGCAATTCAAAATTTACCCAAATAGTTTAACACTTAATAAAACGAATACGAATCAAGATACTATTGAATTCCTAGACCTGCAAATTATTAAACACAGCAAAATTAAATTATTTGATAAAAGAAGGAATTTCCATTTTCCTACTAATTAATTGGAACTCTAATATCTCTAGAAAAGTAATAGAAAACATGTTTCATAGCCAAATTATCAGAATAAAAAATATATGTACTGAAAATGACGATTTAAAGGAAGAAATCATAAAACTAATTAATGTACAAGTTGATAACCAAATACCACCAAAATTCATTAATTTATATATTAAAAAGGCAGGCCTGAACTTTATATTTTTTTGGCTCGTTTGGATATGATAACATTACCTCAAACCTTAGCTGGAGGGTAATGAAGGATATAAAAGAGTAGAGAAATTATTGTAAATTTTTATTGTAAATATTTTGTAAATATGCATATTTAATCAATACTGGATTCTTTCCTTTTACTAATAAAGGGCCAACTCTTTTCAAAAGTCTCAATTATAGCCCGAATTGAGTGAAGATTTTAATCTTCTTCTTCTAATTTTCTATACTTTAGCCAGTATTTAGTTAAGTTTTGATATACCAATTGAAATCAAGTTCATTAAACTTTTAATTTTTTCTTTCATCAAATTTAAGTTTTATTTAACTTCCTAAAGGAATTTTTTTAGAAATTTCTGGGAATTTTTAGAGGTTTTTTAAGGACTTCATTTCAAAAAAATTTTGGGAAATTTTACTTTAAAACTTTAATATTAAAACATTTAAGTTTTTCTTAATTACTTTAATTTTTTGCAATTTTCACACAAAATATCTTTTACTTAATTTTTATAACAATTTTCACAATTTTTCAACAGAACACACATTTCAAATTACAAACAGTTTACATTTTTTTTCACATACCACTTCACTTTAATTTCCTTCAAGCAAACTTACATCTCTTGATTAGCTCAGTTACTTAACTCCTTAAATAATTGATATTACTACCTTTAGGATTTTTAATTTAATTTAATTTTTAATATTCATGTTTACAAAAAATTTTTTTTTTACTATAACAAAGATGGCAGCTTGACACTCAACTTTACCTACATAAGCGCCATCTATATAATTTGAAGAACACACTTACTTCTCTTTCACAACACTTTTGCAGACCCCAACACCCCTATAGTAGGTAAGTTAGAATTAAAACTTACTATTTACTTGCTTTAAGTATTTTTTTAAAAAAATTTTTATGTAGTATCTAAGCATTTTCTAAATATGAAATTATATTTTTAAGTATATATTTGTTTTTTAAAAATTGTGAATTAGTTCTTTTTGTTTCTTGGTTTATATGGATTATGTAGAGTTCTTTTATAGTTTCTTTTTATTGATATGCATATTCGTGTAGGGGAAGTTTCTGTAGACAAGGATTTCTAAAATGCATTGGTTTCTAGATTTGATTTTTTTTATTATTTTTTTTTTATTATTTTATAAAAAAATTAATTTTTTAAGAAAAAGTTTAATTCTTGACTTTACTTGCTTGTTACTCAAAAGACTTCATTAGTATTTTCCTTTTTGAACTTTAATTCTTAAATGTTAATACTTAAATGTTAATTTCTAAGGGTTCCACTTTATTGGAATTACTTTTGGTTTTGACTTTTACCCTTGCCTGCATGAATGACGAAACACGAATTGAATGATTGGAGAGTTAGGTTTGGAGGCAACTTCCCCTTGATAAGTCTGTCTCCTGCCTACTCTACAGTCATTCACATATGCATTTTTTTAAAATTGTTTAATTTAATTTTAATTTATTAAATTAGTAGATTATTTTCGTAGATAGATTTTGCACTTGATTTGCTTATGCTTCTGAATTTAAATGATATTGTAGATTAGTTCGAGAATTAAATCTTTTACATGTTTGCACATTTTTTAAATTATTTTAAATTATTTCGTCTTTTTTTCTTTTTTTGGAATTTAAATTTGCTTTTTTACTTTTATACGTATTTGTTAAGAATTTAAATTTGTTTAAAATATATATATATATTTATAGTTAACTGTATGTAATAAAAGTAAATTTTATTCTTACATTTATTAATGTATAATAACTACATGTAATAACTGTAAGCTTTAAAATTTTGTGGTTTACTCCATTATGTGATGTCTATGTTTAGCTTTTTCAGCACTTTTTTACACTTGTTACAGGCACTAATAACCACACCATAATTGGTCTTTTCCGTATATATTTTATCATAGTTTGAATTTGTGAGAAAGTGTATCAGGGTCTGAAATTAAATATGGAATTCCTGTCCCTGTTTTGGTTACATTAAAAAAAAAGATTATTAACCATTGTCTAAGGGATATTTCGACATACTGCAGGCACTTGGACATGTGATGTGTTAAGATTTTCAGCTGGTTCTTCATTTGGCAATAAATTATCAATGGTGTCCCAAATGAGCTCAGTGGAGGGCAGGTCCAAAGATGTGACATGTCTTGGTAGCACAAGTTTCCCTGTAGTCTATTCTTAGTAACATATAGCATTCATAGCATCATGGGGCTTAGCATTGTTATGCTGGAAAATGGCTCCTAGAACACCTTGTAGAAATGGCTGTATATCTGGCTTTACAGCCAGACTGTCAGCATGCAAGCAATAAAGGCTAGGGGGTCTGCTTATTGCACGTTATGCCTTTCCTCATCCTTATCCTCTAGCCAGGCTGGTTTGACGTTCTTTCATGAAGCCTTGTTGGCATTCGCCACTTGGTCTCTACACCAATCTCTGTCATTTCATCCAACACAGGAACAAGCTGCAGTGTCCAGTTTTTCTTCTACCTTCTGTCACTCCTTGGGTAAAGACCATGAAAACTTTTGAAAACTGTGATTTCAGGTGAGTGGAACACCATTCACTAGTCATTTAGCTGTTTGACATTAATGTGCAAGCATCCGCTGATATTTTGCGTAGACCTTGCTAGAACTTCTGAGCATAGTACATGCTGTCAAAATTTGTTTGCAGTATTAAAAGTTACTACATGGCATTCTTAAAATCTAACAATTTCATGTATGAGTTGAAGGATTCTTTTCCTCTTCATTTTTAATAGGCAATAATAAATAACTCTTTAATGGACTTAAATAGATTGTGTTATCAAATCACAAAACTTAATTTCAGTTTCTGAATTCCATTGTAGTGAGAAGGCTTGCATTCAATCAAACTTTTATGCCTTTTAAGGCCCTTTCACATGTCAGTGATTGCGATGTGGCATTTAAAAAATTTCAATTTTTGCATGCCTTAGGTACTCTTAACTGTTTCCCAAATTTAAACATTTTACTTCTTCATGTTTCAGTGCTGACTAGTATCTATGGCTGATAAATTATATCTTACAAATCCAAAAATATCCAAAATGCTTCACTTCCATTAAAAAATTTTGTTTTTATAATATGTTAATAAAACTGGTCTTTTACTGCTGTAATTGCTTGCATATTTTAAAGAATGTTTTCAAGTGAATTTTTAAAATTTTCTACCCAAATTATCTATTATTCTTCCATAAGGGTGGAGAGATCTTGCTAATGATGGATAGTTTAAATTAAAATTAGCATGTATTTTGCTCCCCTGATCATCTCAAAATTTCTTAGAGTGAAACTGACATTACATCTCTCTGAAGACATATGGCATTTTTATCCCTCATTCCTTCAGATCAATATTAAGTGAAATTTATTTTATCAGCAGGGTGATTTTCATGAGTGACATATTGAACAGGACAGTATGCCATTCTGAGAGAGTCCATTTGAGATGTTGACAGCACCATTTTCATCTTGTCCCTTTGGATTGGATCCTACCAGCAGTCAAGCGGTATAGTCGCTGAAAATGTTGGTAATTTGGTCCGAGGTTTGAATCCTGTGAATGAAAATTCAAAAATGCAAATACGTGAATATTTCTTTGATTTAAAACTTTTTTCTAGAGGTATGGGTCTATGATGAATGGTTGCAAAAATAAAGAACTTTGTGGGCATAGTATGCATAAAACCTACAGATATCATGACTGTTCCATTACCATATTTGCTTTTTTCTCTGATGATGATAGTATAACAACAAGTTCTCTGGTGTTTTTGTTGTGTCATGATGAGTATCCACTTATAATTCAATTCAGATACGTTGCTTTTTAGGTTCAGGCTTCAGTTTATGATTGCAGTTTAATCAAATCTGGAGCAAAGAAGTGAGAGAGATGCAAATCTGCTGAACATTAGAGATTACTTGACTTGAAAATTTAATAGCAGTTTATCTTGAAACTTCTTTTCCTGTAGTTACCGTCAGTTGTGTCAAGTTATAGAGCAGATTTTCACAGTTGATACTAGGTATAGTTTTTCCTTGTGGATTGTATAATTGTTGAAATTTAAACTGTTTGTCTTCATCTCCTATGTGTTTTAGAACCTTTTCCATAGCCCGGAAATAATTTTTTATGCTAAATCTCCCTCTACAGAGCTCTCAGTCTGTGGTATTTGTGGTCTTTTGTTCTATCTACATATTTAACCTATCCTATTGTAACATATTTGAGCCTTATTATATTCTTGATTTAAAAACACTTATCATTTGGACTAGATGAAAAATGAATAACATATTCATAGTTGCAAGATGAATGTATTCAAATGCCACTGGAGGATGCATGAAAGTACATAGTGAATGATATAGCTATATGATTAATTTACATAGTTTTTGTTCTATTGGTTTTAATAGTTTATGATTTAATAACATTGCTGAAATTTCTTTTTGCACTTATGTACATATCATTCAAACAACACATTTTTGCCTCAGAACATGTCTAATTGCTTGTTGTAAAATTTCCTTATCTCTTTTCTTATTACTTTTTGTATGAAACTTTTGTGGTTATGTAATCATAAGAATCTTGATAAGAGCATAAACTGCTTAATAATTTTATTATGAAATAGGAAAGTATTTGGATTCTGAGTATGGAGAAAGGTATACATGTGTTTTTAAAGGCTGTGTCTTAATGTTTTATTGTGTTACCATTTTTAATGCATATTTTTTCTTTTTTAATTTAAATGCTATTATAAGAATATTGAAGTAATAATTTTATCCATTTATCTTACATATCTGCTGGTTACCGTAGTCTTTGTTTTACTTATTACATTGTTTATTGATAATAAAACATATTTATGTACATATCTAGGTCGAAATCGAATCCTTATGTGGACTTTTACCCCGATCAAGTTGGTCAGTAAATTATGTTCAGAACTCTCCAGTTCTCCAGTCTTGGCATAATGCTGCTTTAGATGGTGATTTAAATGGTGCTTGTGTCTTTAGTTTTCCCAAAATTAAAATGAAAAATAATGGATCTGCGAATAACTTCTTGCAAAATTTTCATGTTATGGAAATGAATCTACCTCTTAAATATGTACAGGCTGATAAAAAAAGTAAGTTCTAGATTGTTGTTTTTACTTAATTAGAGCTTTTAGACATTGATTGTATGATAGTATTCTGCTGAAATGCATCATAAAGTACTCACAACTTTTTTTCCATTTCCTAAGCCTTTTTAAAATGATAAACATACATGGTATACAGCCTATCCATAAACCATCAGGCATATTTTACCTTCAAATGGACACACTCATCTGATGCTGAGACATGTGATAATTGATATTAACATAAGCATGGCTTCAGAAGTGCTTTGCTGTTAGGTGAATGAACAAAAAGCATTTAAATCATTTGAACTTAATCGGAAAATAAAGTTTCCATAATAATGCCAGTTTGTTCTCTTAGAAAGACTTCTGTGTAGTTGAATGTGCTCTTGTCACTAGCAACCTGACTATGAATTGACTATCATCTGAATATAAGGTATTTTCTCCCTTCTTTATGCATGCTGTTACGGTGTAACAACAGCACACTTGGCACGTATTCGAAATTTCCTGGCGAAGGCATTGCTCATTTTGTGTGTTTCTACTGCAAAAATCTTAATGACTCTACATTAGGACCAAACTAAACAACTGACTGATGGGCCAGTAAATTGCTGAATCAAGGCCAATGAAATTTAAAGCATGTTTTAATTGGAAATTGTCTGTCAACCTTGACAGCTGTTGCATAGAATTTCTTTTTCAGTTCAGGAAAAGAATGTCATTTATAAGATGATTGTGCAGAATTTTCACGGAGTTTACCAAAGCTTAACGGAGAACCTATCCTGGAAAATAAGAGCTGTAAAAACAGCCAAAATAAATCCTACTTCTTTTTAATAATACTGCAGTAGCCTTAAAGGAACAGCAACGGTGAACATCTGGTGAAATTTTATAACTTGAAAATAAATTTATCATCAAGTAAAATAATTTGCTTATTGAAGTCTAGGGGCATCAATCTTGTGTTTTTCTTACAGTCTAGTCTTTTCATTTAGTTTATAAGAATGCTTCCTTCAGGTAGAAAGCCACACATATTGATCTTTTAAAACTGAATTGTGTATGTGTATTTCATAATATATAGCTGATGTGTGTGATGGCATGATATAGTTGTCATCTTATAATTGTCATCTTGCATTGTAAACCTTGTTTTTGTAATAGTTATAAGCATATATGTGGAGAAGTGCTTAATAGATTTGTGCTCTGAAGTTGTTGAACTAATAGGTTATTTTAAAAGCCAGAAGTGTGAAAAATTGACTATGCCTTCACCAGATTCAAAGCACTGAACTTCCAGTTGCTAGCCAGACATACTACCACTTACATAACAAGAGTGTGCATGAAGAACAGCAATAATTTTTTTGGGGGGGGAAGGTGATAAATACTTTTTCATTAGTTGTTATATAGAATTATTTTAGTCTTATTCTCTCAGTGTGCAGTCTGTATCTTTGAACTAGAAAGCCTTACTGCGAAGAATTAAAGTCTTAATGTTTAGTGTATATTTTTTATTTTCAGTTATTCTGTGCGAATAATATACCCACGACAGTAGGAATATATGGAGCAAACAATAAAAATCATAAAATATATGGAGCCTTAAATCTGAGGCTGGAAACAAGTGAGCTATTACCCCACCCCCTTTCATTTATCAGATGTTATCCAATTCTTTGTTACAGTGTGGTGCTGTGGTCATCAATGATACTTTTGACAATATTTGTAATGTTTTTTAAATTTAAACATTTAAAGTGGTAAAATAGTTTGTTCTTGTGTTGTTGATGGTCAGAAAGAGCTGATGCATCAAGAAATAAAAAAAATTAAGCTTTCATGTGGTACATTTTTATATAAAGAAATTTATACATTTCTTTCCATTAGGAATGTTTCTGCTTTCCCACTATTACAGTTCCCCAGGTATGATCATTTTTGCATTGAAAGTACAGTCAAAAGTCTTTAATCCACATTATCGGTTTTTCCGGATTATAGATCACCAATTTAAATCTGGTAAGATGGCATGCAGATATTATAAAATTAAAAATATGAAACTGTAATTTATGAAATAAAGAGCAATTATGATCTAAAGGGTATCAAAATTTACAAAAAAAAAGCTTAATATTTATTTGTTTACTTTATTAAACATTTCTTTCAATGTGCGCATGCGTAAAGCATACATTATGCATAGTCGAAATTAGAAAATTGCAAACAGAAAACTATTTGATGTGTATTCGTGATATTTATAATGACGAGGAATTTGATTTAAATCATATCAAAGACGGAGTACATAGAGATGAAATGCTACATTTACTAAGGAATTATAAGCCAAATAAAATAAAAACATCTGCCCTGAAGATAAGGATAGTGCTGACAGATCAACTTCCAGTTCATCGTGTGCCGCGATGTCCCCACCCCGCAGAGCAGCGTGAAATTGATAAACAGATTTCGGAATCGTTAGAAAAACTAAGGATATGCCTTTATCCATTTTTTGCAGCAATTCCACTTTTTATTTGATAGACATCGAAACATCTTTTCGCTTTGTAGATAGATCCTTTGGCAGCTCCAGAATCAGAAATTCTATTTGACATAAGCGAAAGTTCAAGCTTACTTTTATAAAATTGCTCTAACAATCTGGAAAAAAAATAATAAGCCGGATCCAGTTCAAAGATTAAGGAACAATGCAATCTGCAACATTAACTGAAATAGATAATTAGATAATTTTAGCTTAGCTTATACCATCCGTTATACATTAAACGTGCATGTGTAAACATATTATGCGCATGCACACATGCATATGCACATGCGTAAAGGTATTACGCGCATGCGCATGAGTGAATGAATTATGCATTGACGCACACGCAAAAAGTTTGTAGCTTTGAGTTCCGGATTATGGGTGTCCGGATTAACGACGCTTGATTGTATTTGTTTACAGTTTAGGCCGGAGCTAAGATAATGCTGGATGTAACAAATATGATGTTATTTAAATGTTTTTATAGCTTTTTAATAATGTAATATCTTATAGCATAGTGAAATTAAAATTATTTGAAGGAATTTTTAAAACATTAAAATTTGATTTATTTTAAATTATTTAAAATTAGTTTTGCATGAAATTAATTAAAATTAATATTTTTATAGAAAAAGTTAAATGAATGATGTTACTTTATATGTTCATTGCTGGTTGATGAACTCATAAAATATAATTAATATGTTTTAAGGCTAAAAAATTAACATCTTTTAATGCCATGTATTATTTCTTATGCTTAGAATGAATTTGTGAAAAACAATTTTTAACAATTTGTATTTTTTAATTATAAAGATTTATATGTTTTGTTTTATTTTTACATTTCTCTAAAAAACCTACTAAACCATATGAAAAAAACGTTTCTGTGGTCAATTTAAGCAATAAGAGAACATCATCTAACTGTCAGAAACAATATTGCTGTGAAGAACTAATGCAAATGTTACATTCCAAAAAATAAAGACGTATTTAATAAAAATATTAATTATGTACTTTGTCAAATTTTAAATGATGTTTACCAGTTTTAATTCATTTAATTTTTGTCTTATGTAATTAATTAATTATTTAATTTCTGTTTAATTGAATTAAATTTGAAAAGAATTTGGTTTGTTTTAAGAATAGTGTACATAAATGCTGTAAGTTATATGAATGAAATACAATTATTATTATAATTAATTTCTTAAATTATAACAAGACATTAATTTTCTGTTTCATAATCAAAATTATAGTGTGCATTTCTGTGTATATCACAAAGACAATAACAAAGGATGTTATTTGCATTGTATGACCTCCATAGCAATCTATCTTCCACCTTAAAATTCCAGGATGCAGTTTATTTAAAAAAATTGATAAATGTATTTTGTATTTTTTGCTGTGTATATTTCCTAATTCTTGTCAAATTTTGGATAATATACAGGAGGTGTTACGAAGTAAGGACTGAAATGCAGAGGGAATAAATAATTCTGTAACTTAAACTCTGATCATGAAATTCATATTTCCTATTTAAATCAGTACTGCTCATGGAATAATTTTTTCATATAATAATAGTTCATCTTAATGTAATATTTTTTTTCAACGATGCAAAAATTAATTTAATTAATTTTAGAAGTTTCATTATTTTATCCAGAAGTCAATCTATTAGTTTCTTGAATTTTTGTGTCTAGTTACTTACTGGCTTCAAAAAAAAAAAAAAAACTGTATTACATTTAGCATCATTTTTATTATTAAAGCATTAGTTATTAATGTTGCATCTGAATATCATTTCGATTTTACTACTGCCTTTAAATTACCCATCTATATTTTTAAGTAACATAGAACTTATTTATTACTTTTAGTCACATCTGTATGCCTATCATTACTGTTTAAAGCAAACTGCTAATGTTTCTAAAATTCAACTGTGATAAGTTTAAAAAGCATTTTAATAGTGTGACAACAAATTTTTGGTTTAATTACAAAGCACTTTTTATTAGCGTGCTCAATACAGTGATAAATGCATTGAGTTACATGTGCAGTAACTGTTGTTTTAATGAGCAATTTTAATGAATTACTTCCGTTCCAGATGTATTGAGTTTATTAAGTGGCTAACTTAAATAAACAGTGATTTGTATATTGCAAATCATGATATCAGTTAAACTTTCCAAGTGAAATAAGTACTAGCAACTAGTTCAGTAATGAATCTTAAATAATAGTAAAAAAAATTAATACTAAAATCAAATTATTTACACAGTTTTGAAATTCATTTAAAAAATTTCTTATAATTGCATTGGTGATGAAATTTTATATCTTGGAAACATATATACTATCTATTTTTTTTAATATGTTTCAATAACAGTTTTTCAGTTGTAGTCTCAGTTCTGCAAAACTTCTGATAGCTTTTGATCAGCACCTTTCAATTCAAGAATTCCTAGAATTTGTTCTGCCTTTCTACGTTTGATTGATGATGGCGTGTCATCACTTTTTCTGTATCACTTTCACTGTCAGTTTCCGTAGCTCTTTTTAAGACTTTCATAGTCAGTTCTTATGCACTTTG